AGTTCGGTGCCTATCAATCACTTGGCGCATGGTCCGGCAATAAGACTTCTCGAAGGAGGGAGCTATTATCCTGCCAGACTCTGGTGATGCACGACCTCCAAGCCGACGCTGGACCTTAAGCTGCCGCTGAACGATCGTCCGCCGCACGAAAATTCCGCGACTGCATACAAACCAGCAGAAATAAAATGGTGATCAGCCGAAGAAAATTCGTTCCTGTCACCCAGAAGCTCGCTCTATGCGCGAAGATTTACCTTCAGCGATTTAAAAATGTCCTCGTTGATTTATTTTATTAAGTTCTGCCGTTTAACACGGTAGGGAAATAGAAAGCAAACGATCGAATACGGTCGCCGAAATGTAAAATATCAAAGAAGTACAAAGGCACGAGTATGAAAACGTAATAGCGTGTATAAATCATTGATCGATGAAAAAGTAGCATAGCCTCGACGAGGGGGAGAGAGAATTATGACGCCAGGAAGCTGTACGTCCGTGTTTTATCTCGGACAGAATGGTATAATGAAAAATCGGGCAGTACACGTAAGTTAAGGCCTACTCGAGAAAGAAAGATCGAGCTCGTTCGCCTCTTGAATATTCATTAATCGTGGCTTGGCTATAAGTATACTGACAGGGTTGAAGGATCGAGCAGGAAGAGAGATTTTCTATTAGGGAACGATTGTATGGAATAGCAATCGTTAAGGTGGACATGATTCTTCGTGTTTTGTATCATAAAAAACTATAAGAAAGAAAATTTGACGCTTCTTTGATAAAATATAATACCGCGTGAACATAATGAAGGATATCCTGTGTTTCCTTTGTGAAATCTCTTAGAAATTCACGCCGTATGTCTTCTCCAATGAGACTAATGAAATTATCGCAAGTGTTAGAGGAGATTAACCCCGGAACGAAGTTAGATCGCGTGATTCGTGAATTCCCTGCGGTTGAGCTGAGACTTCGTTCCTTTCTCATTCGTGACAACAGAGCTGCTGCGATGCACGTGTACTCCGTGATACAGAAAAATTATCCAGGCAACGTCTGTTCGCGTTATGCGCTAAAGTATCTCCACGTAATACGCACGCTACTGTCTACATACATTCAACTTTTCTTCCCTTGTGGGTTCGTACACGTCTGGGTAACACGCGATCTCAAAGGATGAGAACAGATACTACTTTTACGATTTCAAGTTGAGATTTCATCGAAAACTTAATTTGTAGAAGTACATAAACATATGGGAATCGATATTTATCAAAGAATTATTCAGTATCTAATCGAATATGAAAAAATAGGTGACACAAAATCTTCGTATGCGGTACAGGTTGTGCGTTCTTTGAACGTGTTACAGCGGATTTGAGATGGGTGTAATCGCTTACGAAATGACATGCAAATGCAATGGGCATCCAAGGCGAGTCTGGTTTTTCAGGGCGTTACCCTCGGAAATTCTGGTCGGTTGGTTGGTCGATGGTGAACGTTGAGGGCGGCGCATCTGTCGGCGGAAGATTTATATCCCGAGGCCGAAGTTCCTCCACGGAGTTACCCGTTGCGATGTTACCTGACATTAGGCACGCCAACACGAAATACTTTCGGGTATCGTTCAGCCCCTTTACTATATCAATAATTGAAGTACCAAGTTATTAACTAATTGGAACCACTTCGTAGACAAATTAAACGTAAAACGCTTGTCCAAATATAATTACCGTAACGGTTATTCACCCTTTTTGTTATAAAATTAAAATTTAGACCTTTTTCATGTTACCAAATACTTTTCAGAAATGTATCTTTAATTGTGCCTGTATTCACTCTTGTCTGTATATCATATTTATATACTTTTATCGATGAAGGACGAAGTAAGGAATTATAAGGGATGATACTAACGACGCACGAAGGGATGAAATTCATCTATGAAGGCTTGATAGAATAGCATCGCTGATAATCAACCACTTTTATGACCATGATGCCGAGGTTACCGAGTCCAGGCTCAAAATGGAGGACCTCTCCGACACGGCGAGAAAACGATGCGCTGCGGCGCGATTATACTCGGCTGTGAGGGCCGTCCGGTCTATCAAAACCCGCTCGGCTATACATCAATGCCATCTATACGTATAATTTCGATGTCGACTGCCACTCGTTTTATTTGCCGCGTGCAAAAGCGAAGGCGTACGCAGTATGATTTGAGGTTAGGTTGACCGGCATTGATGATGCGCGTACTTTTAGCGATTCCATTCGATTGTATCTCGTTTGTCGGTTTCGACGGCGCAACATTTAGGTTTACGAAAATCTTGCTGCTAGCGAGTCTCGATGGAAAATACACGTTTCGAAAGGTTGAATATAATCTTTATCCTTTGTGTACTTAACCAACGAACGATGATGCGCTTACTTACCTAGCACAAAGTCATCGTGCGTATGATGAAAATGCGCAACGCGTATCAAATCGGCGTATCTTTCTCTCGTTAGGCGGCGGCCAATATTGGTACACGATAAATCGTTAGTTAACGTAGCGAGACGCTAAAGAAGATGCACGGTAATATTGGCAGTTAAATGACACGGTATTATCCGAAGGTAATAAATGTCACAATGCAGTGTAATGACTCTGTAATTTTGGTCACTTAACCGACGTTATACCATCAGTTATAGACATGCGAGCGCCACGTTGTCGATCTTCATTTACTCGTGTGGTAACAGGTTGGCCAGATAACGCGCGATATTTATTGCATTTTCCACTTAGATACGAGGTGTTGCCTGATGTATCTTACTCGTCGTCGGACATTTTCGTAATCCATCATGCGCAACAGAATACGCGGACGCGTTTCATGAGTACATTCGTGGTCGGGCAGGGGGCAGGGGCTACGGAATCGCTCTTTTATTGCATGCCTTCGTATTTCTTTCTCAGCCTGCTTTCTCAAGCTGACACTTAGGAATTAACAGATCGCTCGGTGGCAATTAAACCCCCCAAAGTCTAACTCTCTACTCGCTGGTTCCCATGGTTGCACTATGCGCCTCGGCTCTTTGGACGGCGAAAAAAAGACCGCGCCGAAATGAAGGAAACATGGGGATTCGAAGAGGTTAAGGAGGGAAGGGAGGGTTGGGAGGGGAGGAAGACAGACATCATCGACAACCCTGGTGAACGGGGTACGTGAAGTTCCTCTGGTTGCGCCGGGGTCGTGAGAGCAGCGAGAAAAAAGGCCCAAGAGAAAAGAAAAAGCAGGCCAGAAAAGATACTGCTCCGTTGTGGAGGGCAATATTTACGAGAAGGGTTGGGTTCTGCGAGTTCCAACCATGGGACGTAATTGCACCGGCAGACTACTCTGATTTATTGGGTTATTACAGATCCTGCGTAAGAAAAGTTCGACCCGCGTGGTGTATGGATTTCTTCAACCGTTTCGCTATCTTTGTAGTTATTCAAGATGGCGTGGGAGTATAGAACAAGAGAAACAGATTATTTTATATGGTATCGTATGAGATAATTTTTATCTTTCTCAAGTTATAGTTAGAATATAAAAATAAAAATAGTAGGTTGTATGAGAAATGTTAAGAGTTGGCGTTAGGTTGGTTTTAGTCCGTTATCATTGATCGCGTGCTTGTTTTCAAACGCTGATTGTTTCGGGTTGTTGACGAGAAATGACGGTCGATATTTTCCGTAATACATTTATACAATGCGATTTTGCGTTTGAGCGACAGACTGCGGTTGGTAAAGTTCTGTTTCAGGACTGTAGAACTCTATCGATTAAAAAGAACACAGGAAAGATATGATAAGGTCCATTTTTTTTAGTTTCTAACATTATGTTACTTGGTAGTTAAAAAATGTTTTGATATGAAATAATTATAAAAGGGAAAACTTGATAAGTTCGAAGATATAAGTCTTCTAGAAATAATTATAAAATTCACGTTGTTTCGTAAAAAACGAGTAATCTTATTTTGGTAATGTCAGTAATTTAATTAATTTTAGTGTGCACGAACAATACTATTAATATTTGCGAAATGTTTAAGGAAGTAATAAAAACACATATTCAGCCCCAAAATCAAATGAAAAGTTAAATCAAATGTTAAGTTAAAGTTAAAAGTTAATTGAATTTTGTAGTTGCTTTTCTATAAAACACAGGAAATGTATCTTGTCATGTGTTTCATCTACAGCCATTAATTTCATTACACCATTTTATCTAAAACTTTGATTGTTTCGAAAAAGCCAGTTAGTGCGGATTAGAAGACAAGTTGATAATACAAAAAAATAACATCAGGCTTTCAAAAATCTATGTAGAAAGTTTGAAGCCCTAAAATTTCATTCAAGTCCATTCTAAATCGAATTCCTTTTTTGTTTTGACGTTAGGCGATAAATCTCGAAACTAGTGGGCCTTGGGGTACCAAAAAGATATGAAAAAAAAATCAGGATACGAAAACGAGAGATGCATTTTGCCAATAGATTTACGAGCCTATCCATCCTCGTAGCACGCACTTGCTGCACATATTCTCGAGAAAAGCTCGCCCTTGTGTGTGTGCATTGTACATATATAAATATATCTAGGATTCCAGAAGAACGGTTCATTATTATAAGCCAGGAGGCGTAATTGTTTCCAAGGAACCGTCATGGCGAAGACCTTGCCTGGGAACGTCGAGGTGTTGGCAACCTTCTACAGGACGTTCCATCGATAGCGCCGCTAGTCACGACCATTCTACGTCTACCGATTCTAGTACTCCTTTCTATGCGGTGGTACCGCGAACTTTCAGATTTCCACCGACGGTTCTGTCGGCGTGCTATGGTATACAAAGATGGTGTATGAATAAACTTGCGGATACGTGTACCGTAGCGAGCGTGTGTCGGTGTAGATCGAGATTAGATAAATTACAATTCGCCGCTGGCTTGATAGTCTACGGTAAAATATAGAATAGAAAATTAGAAGTAACATTTTTTCCTTTTCGTGCGCGCATGAAAATCGCGTGCACGCGCGCCTACGGTCACTCAATTTCATAAGATCACCGTTAGAACTTGTCTGATATTCTTCCTTCTGTTTCAGGTGTTCGTCATTCGTGAGCTCATGACGCGTTCTTGATGGCGTTCTTCAAGATCTGACGACGAACCAAGAGGAAATGATAGCCGTATTAAATCGATGTTTTTGAATTTATCTAATAATAAACGAGTATGTCTCTGCCTTTTTCTCGTACCTACGATGTTTATCATTATCGACTGGAAGATTTTTCCGAGGTTGTCTTTTCCGGTTCTTCTAGTTATATATTCGAACAACGGAAAAGGCACAGAAAATGTGATGAATATTGGACAAAAAATTTGGCCGCGAACGCTGAATAACGGCAATCTAGTTTAATCTTGACACGCCCATTACACACTGCACCGCGAACCTATTACATCATGATCGCACTAGATAGGGAGTCTATCTATAACGAACCCTGATTCTGTGCCTACCTGTGATACGTATAAGGTACAATTAAAATTCGAAAAAATTCCTGGAAACCAGTTTCAGCCTGGTTGAAATATTTCGCTACGGGGTGGCCACCCAGCAATGTCGATTCAGGATGATCACATTTAATTACCGATTTCTAGTTATTCATCCAAATTTTCTATTCGTCGGTGATCGATGATTTATTTGGTTTCCCAACGGATAGAATTAATCGATCGTGTGCGAATAGCGCGTAAGATATATGAGAGACACATACTCACCGACCATATGGTCACGACGATTGTCAGGCTCGTGATAGTAAAGTAAACAAATTACTTGATATAGGCTGATATCCATGGAAGCGAGTACATATATGTATAAATTATTATTCAATTATTATTATTATTATTCAATTTTGCAATCAACACGAACTGACCATATTCTTACATGGATGTTTACGATTTAACTTGCTGAACGTCAATTTGTGCCTAGAAGGGTGAATTTTATTTTGTAAGTACCACGCATTTTACAATGTATATAGGTGTATGGCGTGAAACAATATGATCGCACGCGAGTGCTGAGAGCTCGTGACTGATGTCTTCATGTACCAACTCCATTGTTGCGTCCATAGTCATTGTAATTTTCGCTTCACGCCAGAAAAATCAATAATCGATAGCTTGGTAATAACGCCGTTGTGTTTCCCGGAATGGAATATTGCTCGTTCGGCTGCATTTGCAGTTGGAGAATATATTTTCCCATTTTCACATCGTAAACAGGTCTCGTTGGCAAATCGTCAGTTGAGACTACATATATAGTGGCTTGATTCCATATTGCTTCTTGGAAACCAATTTTCTCCTACGAACGCAACGTGTTACATTACGCGTGGAAATAATTTATCGATTACTTTCGTATTTTACATTGTCGCGAATTTGAGGAACGACGGCCATACCGAACCGCGAGACACGGGGGGCATGGCCACCATTTTGAAAGATGGTGCATCCTGCAAGCCGTGCAACCTACACCCACGCAAAGGTAAGGCCGTTGAGAAAACTCAGACTACTACAACCACCCACGTTTGATTCCCATTGGCCGAGCCGTCCTCACCCATAAGATACCACACCACCCACGGCCTACGGACCCCGTGCAGGTCACTGCCAGTTCTCTACAGGGTGTCTCTAATATACAAACTTCAAATACTCTTGATGATCGATGATGAAGTGATTGCCGAAATGCATCATACCCGAAGAAAGTTATCGAGAAAGTCTACGTCACAAAATGCGATCAAAAATATCCGTCAAAAAATAAAACTTGAAATTCAAGGAATTTGGCAAATTTGACGAGTACCGATTGAATTCGGCCGAATCAGTTGCCGATATGAAAATTCTAGTTGGTGAAATTTTTTTCAATACACGTGCTAGACGCACACTTAGCGAGAAGGAATAGGAAGAGAAGATCGAGAAGCCCTCGACACGACTTTGCCGGCGCTCGGATTACAGTGGGTTAGACCAGCGCTAGATTATCTCAGTGACGGTAAGTATAGGTTAGATCGGCAACTCTAGCCCATCTTGCGGCCATACCAGGAGCATTGCTTCCCCGAACACGTAAGTCCCGCACTCTCGGGGCACGTCGAGCCACGCGATAATTCATGGAACTTTATGCGCACCTCGTGTAATGCCAGTTCCTGTTTTTTTTGGCCGTCATGACGCGGCATAGTGAGCCACGGTGCTGCACGAGCCTTAAAGAATCGCATGGGTGGTACTTTTCAAGGTGAACTGCCGTTGAAAATCCGTGAGCATAAAAGACGGCTGGCCGAGTAAGTCGCTTCACGAAGCTACCATAATATAATGGAATAAATACAAGAAAATGAACGAACAAGTTCTTCATTTTATATATATTTTTATATGTTGTTTACATATGAGATCGTATTATCTACGTTTTTATTTTAATTACGCGCGCTAATGACTGTGGTTAATTTAGTATGAATATCAGGGTGAAATATCATCCGGTCTATACATTCTATATCGTAGCTGTTAGAGCGCTATGAAATTGCATCACCTTTGATCGAGAGATTAAACGATTTTACTAGTTGCCAGATAAAATCGGCCAAGCTACTTTATATATACATTGTTACAGCATGATTTTGTATGTTTTAAGATTGTCAGCCGCTCGCGGAGAGATGGAATCTGTAGCGGCGCCTCGCATTAAAGACTACAATTTTTCCATTCCGGGGCCACTAAATTTTACTACAATTAACGCTGGCAGCAAATTGCTACTGCCGATCGCGGAGATAACCTAATTACTACATAATATCAGGTAGAGTTGTTGTTACGATGTACCGGTGTGGTAGGAGGGGAAATTTAAGTACAGCCGAGGCTTTAGCACCAGCGCGACGGTGGGATAATTTTTCCTCTGATTATGGGCACGTGCAATATTTCCATTAGTTGTCAATTTAGTTGTCGGCACCTGATGGACGTACGTTGGATATATGTACCTGCAACCGTTCCGGGAATAATTAACAATAAATTATCCACGGAAGCTATCATTACGGTAGCTAATCGTGACAAATTGACCGTTATATTATTAAACAGCTTACAAACGCTAATTGCGTGACTCGTGTGAATCGTTTGAACGAGAGCAAGTGGCTGATTGTAAGTGAATAATGGACACTCAGGCCGATCGTTTCGAATCATAGATCGAGTCGAGTAATTGACTTTCTTTCGATAATTCGATCCTAGGGTAAATAGCACTTAGGCCGTGATAAAATTTAATATTATAACCTTGTCCGATGAAATTCGAAGTGCGTCGAGGATCTACCGTTACTTCGTGGTCATTGGGTTCATTAACTATGTACATACATACATACATATAAGATAGGATCTCGCTTAATTAGGTGATGAACTACCGGACAGATTGCGAAGAAGCTTATATCTTATATAGCGTCTCTTCGAAAACTTCTTTTCAATTAAATTTTCCTGTAAGACATTATTATGGAAGAAATTTTTTTCGTGCTTTATCAAAAGTCATAAAGTACTAAGGTGCTTAAGAAATTGCTGGAATAAGGTTGTTGAAAATAGTCTGAAGCACGACGTGGCCAATAATTTTCCCACCATTGGTAGCGAAGCGTTTCAGAGGGAGTCTTTCAGAGGACGCCACGATGCACGTCTAAAACGCAAAGTTAATCAACCTGCTGACAGATGGCAGAGGCAGTATCGCAAATTGTGGATAAGCCTTTACCAAGTATCGAAAAATATTAGCAAATATTTTGACGTGTTGAATACTCGATTAACTAATGATAGAAGAGCAAACGAGCAGCCATTTCGTGCATCGATAATTTAACAAGAAAATACTGTAATATCGAATAAATATACATACATATAGAAAATCACCACTTGATGGATGTCGATTACACTAAAAAGAGTAAGAAAATGAAAAACAATAATGTCTTCTATTTAGCAAATGAACGGTTCTTTTACACTTCTACCGTTATTACTTATCGTGCCGCTGTTATAGCAGAGTAACTGAAAAATTAACTCGTGTAATTTAGAGCGGCGTTTAAGTTGATCGCCACGCTCTTAACGGATCCATTACGTTATCCTTGTTAAACCAACACGTACAGAGCGAAAACGCTTGTTCGCCGGCGCAACATGCAATCTTGAATTTAGAATTTCGATAACGCCACGCAATAAAACCTGTTTTTCCCGCATCGAACTCATCGATGCGATATATATTGAGAAGCATTAGTCCGGTTCCCAAGATGGTTCGTTGAACAACCTATACCTATGTAGGAATTCACGAGGTTCATCGACGAGACACAGCAAATGATTTTATGTTTTGAAGCGATTTCAATTTCTCTTCTTTCCTCTCTTGACACCAACGTTGCGAACGATTCCTCGTAATACGGGTCCCCGATCAAAGTGTAGAGCCGTTCACGATCTCGCACAATCGCATATCCAAGGGAGTCGAAAGTGCGAAGCGTTTACACCGGTATTTGAACTTCGCTGATGACGGTAATCACGCTCGCTCGACGCTTCAATTGCACGTTTCGTCGGGTTTCTGCGCCTCGGTTACTTTACGATCGGGAGTAACCCAGCGTGGTGGTCAGGATCGTGTCCTCTTCGTCAATCTCTATCCACAAGACCTTCTCCAACATCCTTTTACTCATTTTTCAGCTTCGCTTCTTTGACTATCCTTTCTCCACGTTTCGGTAAATTAACGATTTCGGCGCACGTTCCTGTCGAGTCGAGTAAATTTCTATATTTTTTCTTCAATGTTTACTATAAGACTGATTAATTGCCGGTGGAATTTACCTTTGTTTGCATTTTTTTTATCCAATTTCTAGTTAATCGACTGAGTTATACTTAGCAAATGTAAATTTAATTGTAATAAATTTGTTTGATGTTTACGATACACGAGTGAAATTATAATTGCAAATTAATATAAAATGATTGGTTTCAATAATGATAGGAATTAAGTAATTTAACAAGGCGCCATATAATATTTGTATATAGTACATAATATGAAATTATGTACTCCGCGGAGAACGAACGTTTTTGTAAGATAGCAAAACGATAAGACGGTGTTAATTATAAATAAAAGAGTATGGCAGTTTGATGAGTTTATCCTGTCATTAATCGTTACCAGGGTAGAAAATGCGACGCTTCTGGTGGGATTGCGGTGCTCTTAGTGTGCCACGGAAATTCTAGGATTCTCAACAACCATGCGGCCACGGTTGGCATTATTTGAAGTGTTTCTATACGCGGATGAGTTAT